ACCAAACTCATCAAAGGGATGGAGGACAAGAGCTATGAGACACGGTTACTAAATTTAAATATGTTCACGCTGGAATTAAGAAGATTAAGGGGGGACATGATTTTCATGTACAAAATGTTCCATAGTCATAGCGACATTAGCAACAAACTCTTTACGATTAATTCTGTAACAAAGACTAGAGGCCACCACCTGAAACTGGTAGAAAAAAAATTCAAACACAAGGGGCGAAGGAGGTTCTTCTCAGTTCGAGCGGTTAGGGTCTGGAACTTGTTGCCACAAGCAGTGATTTCGGCTAATAGTGTGGAATCGTTCAAGAAGCTTTTGGACGATTTCCTGAGAAACGGTAATATACAGGGGTACAAGTACTCCTAATAACGAGATGACTCAGGGATCTATACACACACACACACACACACACACACACACACACACACACACACTATAGGTTGGACTTGATGGACATGTGTCTTTATTCAACCTCAAATACTATGTAACTATGTAACTATGAAAATATCCCTCACCAGCGCCCCACCATATCCTTTCTCTGGACGGTGCATTGTTTGTAAAGGAAGAGCTGATGTTTAGTGATCGGGTTACAATGAGTGACAGGGAGGAGGGCAGCTGATTACAGCCTGACACCCTGGTGTCTGACTGAATTTCCGGTGCAGAAAATTTTGAATGTTATTCAAATAAATAAAACCTTAATAAAAAAAACTGAAGAAAGCCTGCAATGTGACACATGAAAATGTGCACATTGTAGAGGGCGGCAAGGCTGGGTCCTGGATGGTAGATATATATCACCACTGTTTGGGTTGTGGTCCCTTTAAGGGCCACCACAGGGTTAACATTCCAGCCCCAGGAAGGGGTTTAAAGGTCTGCACCTCCCAGATAGGAGTGTGGGAGTTGAGGAGGAAGTAATCAGCTGTGGCTAGTGTGAGAGACCAGCTGTACTGCTGTTCTGCAGGACTTGTATTCCTTGGAAGCTGATTTGCCCAGGTTTGGGATGTTTCTACAACAAGTCGGTGAAACACATTTATGTTTTGTTATCTGTGCTGAAGAATTGGACTTTTAACTTTGAGTTTGCTGAAGATAAAGCGTGTATTTGTGTTTACCGTTTTGTGGCTGCACCGGAAGAGGAAAATAAAAGCGGTTGTTTTACTCAAAACACTCTGTGAGAGAGTGCTCTGTGAGCTCCCCAACATCACAACATATATACATCATCACTGCACCTCTTCATTACCACAATAAATGCAAATCACTTACAAAGTTTGAAATGGACTAAGGGCTTTCTCGTTTTCTTCATTGAGCATATTTTCTTTCGGTCATATTCGATTAATTTTCCTTAGGCGTATTCTAGTGTTAGTTCGTGCTCAGGTCTGGTTTCTAGATCGTTAATAAGAGCACTGTATGACTGTGGAAGTCTGCATAGCACCACGCACCATCTGGTTATCTTTAATTTTAGCTCCAATTGCACGTAGTTGTTCTATGATTTCTAGCATGGCATTCACATGTTGACGCATTTCCTGGCCTTTTTCTAGCCACATACTATATAGCTTACATAGCAGATATAGTTTACCATTTAGGTTTGAACACTCATGCAGCTGTTGTAATGCAGTCCACATAGCTTTAATTATATTGTCTTTTCTTATGTGGATGAGCTGGTTGTCTTCCACTAGCAGACTTATAATTGCTTTTACTTGTCTGTTCTTCTTGTCCCATTCTTCCATGGGTCCATTAGTTGGTCTGTCTGTACTCAGTACTTGCCTCAAGTCATCTTTGCTTAACCTCCCTGGTGGTATTCCCGAGTGTGGCTCGGGGTTAATTTTCAGTACCAATAGCGGTAACCCCGAGCCGGGATTACACAAAAGTGTCACTTACCTTGTCTCTGTGAGCCCGCGGTGTCCTCTGCTGTACGCGGCCGGCCGCTGCAGACATCCGACTTTTAGTTTTGTTTTCGGCGTCATGGGGGGGCGGAGCCGGCGGGAAATTCAAAAGTGAAAACATGCAATATACACAGAATACAATGTAATCTGCTATGATTACATTACTGTATCAAACCATTTCACTTCAGTTTTGTCCCTAGAGCTTTGTCCTGCACCCTGCCTGCACTTTTACTGTTCTTTCTGCCTGGCAACTTAAGAACGTCCATGGCATCCAAAAAAGCGTCCCTTTAGGTCAAAAGCGGTTTTATACCAGCTAGAAAACAGCGATAGTGATTTAGAATCACTTGCAGAATTGAGTGATAGTGATTCGTGGGGAAATTCGTCATCAGACACTGAAAGTGGCGACAGCGACAATTCTGCGACCAAGCTCAGTGATATGCGAACTTGGTGCTCTATTGACTGTGGTACCGGTCTGGCAGCGCCCCCCAGATTCCCATTTACTGGACCATTTTTTTAATTATATTATTTTTTTTAAACAATGTACTGTTTTGTCATGCAAAAATACTGCATAATCAGACCGCCAGGGAGGTTAGCAACATTTTAAGCTTGAACTTCCAAAGCTGGTAGTTGCAAACTTCATATCTGAACTGCTTGCCGTCTTTCAGTAGCGTGTTGACTTGCAGTGTTCTGTTTGGTGCCTGGGCCCATAACCTATTGGTTATGTGTTTAGATGAAGCACTGAGATCTTGAGCAATGCTGAATTAAGTGTTACTTGCTTAGAAGACATTACATGTATGTAGACAGCATTGTGAAGGAAATAGAAATCGAACTTCCTGTGCTTCATAGATAAGCATGTACATAGAGACTAGCATTGCACTACAGTGCCATCTTCAGCTCAAAAGACAAATTACAGTCAGTAATACAAACAGTATATGCTGTAGCATTTCAAACAAGGGGAAACAAACAGGGTGAGAGTGGCAAAGGTTGTCTCATTAACTTCTAGGTAATGGGTATGAATATCAAAAGTTGGTATTATTGAGATGTATGGTTCACAGATTTTTCACTCTCACTCGGCTCTGATGGTCTTCTCTCAATTATAAAGAGGGAGTCTAAAATAATCTAGATCTTTTCCTTAATTAGGAAATGCCACTGCAAACATAGGCCAAAAAATTACAAATGTGACATTAGACTTCCTGTCTATAGGTATGTCTAGTATGTCAAGATAGAGAACATCCTCAACTTTAACGATGAGGAAATTAAAAAAACTTTGCGGGTATAAGTTCCTGTTATGATTACTTATATTTTTCTCTTGTGTGATCTAAACAATTGGTGGAAACACCAAAAGTTTGCACTGATCAAATTTGCACAACACTGCAAGTGGCAACCAAGTTATCATGTGTATAACTAGCCTCAAAGCCGGTGGATTAAATCAAATCCACTGACATTTCACCAGTTTAGACAAAAGGACTGCTGTGTAAGTAACCAAGTAGTATGGCTTCCTTGAAGGGCTCTGCTACACTGGTGTCTTTCTGTCAAGTGCCCTTGTCTAAGATACACATCACACCACCTAACAAAAGGCTGTCATTCTAATGGGAAGGTCAAAAAGCCAAAAAAAGTTCCTTGTTTTGCGGCAGTCTGGTTACTAATTTGACTAATGCTACAGTTGCTTTATTTCAGGACTCCATTCTATTTTGGATTTAATGTGTCTGATGTCGGTTGTCACACTTGGCCAACTACTATGCTTGCCTCCACTCCGGCCCTACAGGATTTGCTCCTGCAGAGTGACTTAGTAAATAGCTTCAACTATCTGTCAATTGAAGCTAGTGGAGGTAAAACTCGAGATCCAGTACATTGGCGTGCCAAACAACCAAATACAAAGTTGGTTGCTGCTAGGGCTGATAATGATTAAAATTTTCGTGTTCGATTAATCAAACTTTTTTTTAATCGATTAATTTCAATTATAACGCACATACAGATCCAACTGCATTGGCCTATACACATACAGCACAGCAATGAAGTAATAAAATGAACTAGGATCACACTAATCCAGCACTTTATTAATCTCACGTGCCCCACTCAATTTGGCCGCCGCTTGAGTGGGGCAACTCAGAATAATAACGTGCTGGATTAGTGTGATCCTAGTTCATTTTATTACTTCATTGCTGTGCTGTATGTGTATAGGCCAATGCCTTGGCTGGCGCTCGTGCAGAAAGTTTATTGGGCAAACTCACCGGCCCAAGTGGCTCCGTTGGCTAACGAAGGGGGGAGGAGTCCGTTGAGGTCACCGGACTCCTCCCGCTTCCCTTCGTTAGCCAAGAGAGCCACTTGGGGAAGGGGGGGAGGAGTCCGGTGACGTCGATGTCTGTGACATCACCGGATCGCCAACGGGACTCCCGGAAGCCAGCAGAGAGGTAAGTGTTTTCATTAGCGATCAAAATAATTTTAATCGATCAAAAAGTTTAACGATTAAATCGAGAAATTAATCTTTAATTTCCACAGCCCTAGTTGCTGCACGTGACATTTTGGCGGCTTTGCCAGTGCAAAAGAAGACTCAGTCATCATGTGTATGACCACCCTTAAAGTATTCTAGTGAATTAAATTAAATCTATTGACGTCCACCCAACAAGTCTGTTTCAATGTACAGTACAAGAAAGATTTTGTATGGAAACCTTTATCAACAAAAATCTATTTTACCAATAAAGCTAAATTGAAGTTCTAAAAAAAAGTTTCTTACATGCTCTTCCCAGGCTCTCTTTTCCCTCTCATCTGCTTCTCTTCTCTTTCGCTCAAGATCCTCTTTTATTATAGCTGCTCTAGCAATGGCTTGGGCCTGCACAAAAAAGTACAGATTTTATTGGAAAGACATTGAATTTGGTCTGGGATACATTTTGATTACCAACATATGTACAAACTGAACTGAACGTAAGAGAAGGCATCAAACAGAATTTATGAAAGGATGGATTCAAAACCTTGATGTGGACTACGTCACCAAGGTTACAGTGCTGCAATTTCACTCACAACCTGGATTTGCAAAAACCTAGCATGCAATAGTCTATGTCATAATTATCTAGCCTCAGACCTTAGAAGCAAATGTATTGGATAAATAGATTACTTGATTCAAAAGGGAATTTGACTTGTACAAAATACCATCTCCGAAACAGTGAATCAGTCTCAAATTGGTCAAATGAAAAAAAGGTAAAAGTAAGGTCACAAGAAGGCTTAAGTGAAAAAAAAAGTTTCAACGGAATGTAAATTAATTATTTTCATCTTTAAATATGAAGAAATAAAATATAAAGCTTAGTCTAAACTAAACCTATTTTACACCAACTGTTTTTTCACCAAAGATGACCATAATTTCTGGGTAATATTTGCCTGTCACTATCCCCAGGCTTCCTTTGACTGTTCTGCCACCATGGTTATGTTTTAGTGCTGCAATAAGGCAGAGCTATTTATTGGCTGCCTCAAACCCCGACATCACACTTTGCCAGAGATCATTTGGATGCTGGTAGCTAGAGGAACCCAAGTAATACTGACAGTTATACACTCACCGGCCACCTTATTAGGTACACCTTGCTAGTACTGGGTTGGACCCCCTTTTGCCTTCAGAACTGCTTTAATTCTTCATGGTTTTGGTCCATACTGACATACTGACATGATAGCATCACAGGCCCAAAGTGTGCCAAGAAAATATTCCCCACACCATTACACCACCACCAGCCTGAACCGTTGATACAAGGCAAGATAGATCCATGCTTTCATGTTGTTTACGCCAAATTCTGAGCAGACCATCCGATTGTCACAGCTGAAATCAAGACTCATCAGACCAGGCAAGGTTTTCCCAATCTTGTATTGTCCAATTTTGGTGAGCCTGTGCAAATTGTAGCCTCCGTTTCCTGTTCTTAGCGGACAGGAGTGGCACCTGGTGTGGTCTTCTGCTGCTGTAGCCCATCTGTTTCAAGGTTCGACGTGTTGTGCGCTCAGAGATGGTATTCTGCATACCTGGTTGCAACGAGTGCCTATTTGAGTTACTGTTGCCTTTCTATCATCCCGAACCAGTCTGCCCATTCTCCTCCGACATCTGACATCAACAAGGCATTTTCATCCACACAACTGCCGCTCACTGGATATTTCCTTTTTTTTTGGACCATTCCTTGCAAACCCTGGAGATGGTTGTGAATGAAAATTCCAGTAGATCAACAGTTTTTAAAATACTCAGATCAGTCCGCCTGGCACCAACAACCATGCCGCGTTCAAAGTCACTTAAATTCCCTTTCTTCCCCCATTCTGATGCTCGGTTTGAACTTCAGCAAGTCGTCTTCACCATGTCTAGATGCCTAAATGCCTTGAGTTGCTGCCATGTGATTGGCTGATTAGCAATTTGTGTTACCAAGCAATTGAACCGGTGTACCTAATAAAGTGGCCGGTGAGTGTACTGTAGATTGGCACATGGCTTTCATCAGCTCAGGCCATAGGACTAAGAAAGAAGGTAAATAGATAAGCTTTGCACTAGGCTAATTAAAGTCACTTTTAAAAGATGCCCAGAAGTCCGTCCCCCAGTGATGGGGTAGTGATAATTGGAAAGTGGACGTTGTTCCCATTCATCTGTTATGCAGCTACTCAAAACACATACTAAACTGGTATGGCTGCATTTAGCTGAAATCAAACTGGCTGCTATGGGTGCATATTGTATTAGAATCGTTAGTAAATCCATAATGATCTCTTTAGCAACCCTGCACACAGAGCAAAGTTGTGCAGCAGACCACACTAAACAGTTACAACTCACATTTCACTAGTTTACACCAAATGATTACTGTATAAGCAACCCTCAGCTTTCCAGCAGGCTTCTGCTGCACTGGTGTCCCTTATCTTTTTGCCAAGTGCCCTTGTCTTGGATAATATGGACTCTCCTAGAGGAACTGATTAAAAGTACAATAGATGCATGCTATAAGAATGTGTCTGACATTCACCACCAAAAACAAAAAGAAGAAGGTCCTCTTTGGTTTGTGACAGTCTGATATGGATTTGACCACTGCTACGGTTGCTTTATTTTCTAACTGGATCTCACGTGCCTTACTTTTGCTGGTTACTTCTTCCTAATTCATGTCACATTTGACCTATGTCTGTGGCACAACTATGCCCGACCCCACCTGCCTCCCCCCACTGCTTGCTGTTAAGGCTTTGCTTTTACAGAGCAAAGTTGACCATACACAGAGTTTTTTTCTCATTCAGCTTGATTCCCTCACCCATGCTAAACCTCACGGATGAAGGAAAGCCCCCCCTTCCCTCGCTGGTTATTGTATTTCGACAGCGATGGGTGTGCCATTGTCAGAATACCTGAAAAGTTCTTGCAGTTGATTGGCTGCAGTCACAGTTCAGCCCAAATTTGAGCACTGTATGGTCAGCATTACTTGGTAAGTTACATCAGCTTCCTGTCAGTGGGTGCCAGTGATTAAGACTCTCAGTTCTAAACCTAAAAATGTCAGACAAATTAATGTTGGTATTTACAAATGAACATGATGTATCCTAGCACCAGGATTAGATAAAAACAACTGTTCTATCAAACGTTATACTTACAGAAGAACTCCAGGAAACATTATTCTAAACCCTTGTAGTGGGGCTGCCCCCCCCCCCCCCCCCCACTGCAAGCCTTAAGTGCTTGTTTTCATCTAGGGTGTAAAATAAAAAGTTATACTTGAACCTTGATGGCTCTTAGGCCGGTCCTTCCAGCCTCTCTCCCCGTCCGCTCCAGTGGTCTAAGGACCCTTGAGTCTTCAAGTTCAATACACTGTGTATTGGAATGCGAGGACACCAAGGGACATGCTGCAGTGGAGGAGGCAGGCTGGAGGGAGAGCTGTGACAGCCAGCTGGCTGCGAAGTTAAGGCGAGTTTAACATTATTTTACACCCTAGATGAAAACAGTCACTTACTTGAGAATAATTTTTCCCAGAGTACTTCTTTAAAATCTAATTGGAAAAGTGCACAGTTACTGAACAATAGAAATTGGGATTAGTGTTTTTGTGATAGCTAGTGCATCTATGGATAATATAACTGTAAATAGGTTTCAAAACTAAAAATTCTACTAAATGATAAACAACTCTGTTATTTATGATACCTTTAAGGCTTCAATTTTTTTCTTTCTTAGCTCAGCTTCCTCGCTGTTGCCTTTGCTGCTTGGTTGTCCTTCATCTCCCTGTCAAATCAGAAAGACACATGGTGAGGGACATTTCTGAAACATGCTGTTTTGTATCTAGATCTTGTGTTAACTCACATGAAAAAAAATAATAGGATTTTTGTACTCACCGTAAAATCCTTTTCTCTCCTTTCATTGAAGGACACAGGGCAACAGATCGTAGATCCTGAATGGTAGGGTATATCGCCACCTGCAGGAGAAGGACGCTAGGCACATAACAAGAGACAAAGACAGCCTAGGGGCGGCCCCTGCTGGTGGCCAAACCCCCCACTTGCTGACAAGTCTCCAGTAAGTAACAAGCAGTTAGGAGTGTACACCCCATAAAAGAGGGCGGGACCTGTGTCCTTCAATGAACGGAGAGAAAAGGATTTTACGGTGAGTACAAAAATCCTATTTTCTCTCCCGTTCATTGAAGGACACAGGGCAACAGATCGTAGAATGACTGAAAAGAAGGATGGAACACAGATCCCTGGGACAGAAGACCCGGACGCAGAGGCAGCCGCCACAGGGCGTCTACCACCAGCTGAACCACGCCCGCGTACCACGCTCTCCAAGGCCAAACTGGGGCCACGAGGATGACGGTGACGTGTTCAGCCGCGATCCGTCGCAGAAGCCGAGTCAACAGGTACAGTGGAGGAAAGGCATAAAATCAGACTGTAAAGGCTTCCAGGGAGCCACTAGGGCATCCAGAGCCGGGCTACGATCTCTCTACCTTCCAGTTGCGTCGAGACGCCAGAAGGTCCACATCCAGCGATCCCCAGTGAAGACAAAGCTGATGAAAAATGTCTGGGTGTAGGGACCATACTCCCGGGTCCACCGACAGGCGACTGAGGCAGCCGACCTGCCAATTGTCCACCCCCGGAATGTAAACCGCCGAGAGGGCCAGAACCTGACTCTCCACCCAGGAGAGGATTCCGGACACCCCTCGACCCGAGGCCACGCTTTCGGAGCCGCCCTGGTGGTTAATGTACGCCACTGAGGTGGTGTGGTCCGACTGGACCCGAACCGACAACGAGACCCCCAGTCATGTGCACCCCACCGGGCCAAGAGACCCACAGGCGTCGAAAAGAACCATCGTCGCAGCCGACCCACCGTGGCGGGACTGCATGCGCTAGTCGGTCGCACAGGGGAGACTCCAAGGATCTACATTCATCCAGCATGTCGCCCTGGCGACACTTGCTTGAAGAAAACAGCAAACAAAAAAGGAGGAAAATTTTTTAGCTCCTTACTCCTGACGCTAGGCAAAAAACTGGAGACTTGTCAGCAAGTGGGGGGTTTGGCCACCAGCAGGGGCCGCCCCTAGGCTGTCTTTGTCTCTTGTTATGTGCCTAGCGTCCTTCTCCTGCAGGTGGCGATATACCCTACCATTCAGGATCTACGATCTGTTGCCCTGTGTACTTCAATGAACGGGAGAGAAAAAACTATTTTAAAAGACCTGGCAGCACAAGTTTGTATTATGAAAAAACTTCCTTTTAGGATACAACAGTTACTTTCCCTTTTTCCCCTCTATGTAAGCTTTGATAACAATTGGCATTTTTTTGGTGTGTTGGATTTGGCATCACATGTTTTCAGACTAGGGATGCACTGATACCGTTTTTTCGGTACGAGTGCAGCGTGGCTTCCCGACCAATCAGGAAGCCGGGATGCAAGTTATGACAAGCTGCCCGGCTTCCCGATTGTCTAGGAAGCCAACTTCACTTGCTGGTAGGCAGCCTGGCTTCCTAACCAATCACGAAGCCAGGCAGCACGTCATGACCTGCCTCCCGGCTTCCTGATTGGCTAGGAAGCTGGTTTCACTTGTTCCTAGGTAGCCTGGCTTCCTGACCAATCAGGAAGCCGGGTCATTACGTGCTGCCCGACTTCCCGATTGCCTAGGAAGCAGGCCTCACTTGTTGCTAGGCAGCCTGGCTTCCTAACCAGTCAGGAAGGCGGCAAGTGGGTCATAACCCGCCTCTAGGCTTCCTGATTGGAAAGGAAGCCGGCTCCATGCTCCCGTGGCACTAGTATCGGAGGTAAGTATCGGAGGATTTGGGCGAGTACGAGTATATCCAAATACTCTGTATCGGCACTGATACCGATACTAGTATCGGTGCAACCCTAATTCAGACTAACATTTATTGTGTCCAAATAGCTATAGGCTTTTAAACACTAGCTGGAATGAGTGAGGACACTGGAACTAATGGCAATTGACCAAGATGAAGACAACGATAGAAAATACATGAATAAAAATAATTTTGTTTTTTGTTGAGATTAAAAATTTTTATGGTGCATATCAGAGGAAATATTTCCTTTTTTATCAACAGATCAAACAAAACTGGATTTTATAGCTATTACTTTGTCATATTCCAGCTAATGAAGCAGAGATACAAATATTCAAAATGAAGTGGATAAGCTTTAGGGCCTGTTCACACGACGTCCGTTTTCTGTGCTGACATGATCTGTACGCTCCTGCACTAAAAATGCATCCCTTTGTGTTTTATAAGCTACAGCTCTCATGTGCGCAGTCCGTTCAGGTTACGACAGAAAAAATATGCATGTCACATTTTGTCTGGTCAGGAAACGGTCCGGAAACGCAAAACACGTCAAAAACGCATCTAAAACGCACTGCACCTAACATACCGACAGCCCCACTGCAGCAAAAAAAAAAAAAAAAAAGGAAGTTTAAAAAAAAAAAAAACTGGAACGCATCAAGAACGCGGCAAAAACACATAGCACCGCGTCTGCAGAACCGCACCTGATACTGGACCTGAAAATCATGTGAACAGGCCCTTACACTGCAGAAGTATACCACCACATAAACTGTCAATATGTCATGTTATAACATTCACAATAAATGATGCATTTGCCTCAGGAACACATAGGACAATGTTTCATTTGCCAGGAATGTACAGTAAGTTCTAGTAAAATGTCTATTGGGCATTGTGCTCTTTTCAAAGCTCTGATTAGCTGGGAATGGCACTGGTTCTATAAATCTTAAACCTACATTGGCTGTTCCTCACTATGCATACGGGGAGTTTCGGGGAGTCTGATTTTTAAAATTATATGAAAGTCAAAATGTTTTTAAGCCATTTCAAATACTGATGGATGCTGCCCTTTGATGTTTAAAAGTTTGAATTTTCTGCAGAATCAGCTTGTCTCCTGAGCTCTGGCCCTGATATCCTGTTTTAAAGGTGGCTCCTTTCCCTTGCAGGGAGCCACCTTTGTGTGCACTAGTAAACTGTGCGTCTCTTCACAAACACATAGACACAGGAAGGCAAGACATTCCCTGCTCCCCTCTCATTCCCCCGTCCTTCTTTCTCCAAAGCTAGTAGATGGACACCTGCTGAAGACTGTTCTGAAACATGATAGCTAAGTGCTTGAGTAAAAATAAAGAGAAATACTTTGCTGGGCAATGTGTATTTGTTTGATCTGGATTCATTATTGAAAATAGTTTCAGAGTTTAATACTTCTTTTAATATATTTTAAATGCAAACAATATTTTGGAATAATGTTAAAAATATTTTTTTTTCTAAAGTTTCAAGTTTATAGCCAGTTAAGGAACATTGCCGTGCCAAGTACTAGCCGAGGAGACCCAAGTCCCATGGTCACCTTTGCAGGTCCTAGTCCTATGAAAGCATGTTGCAGCGTCAGTGTAAAATGTAAACTAGAAGTTACATTGCAGTTTGCAGGAACAGCCAATTACAGGTTTTTATATATAGAAGTCACTGAAGTTTGAAAGTAGGAAAAGTTAATTTTTAAAAACAAATAAGAGTCTTGACTATTGATCTCTGATTAACCTCTTGTTATTCCTAACTGGAAGGATAGCATAATCATGGCAATGTTTTATAGGGTTTTCTAAGGACAGCAAAGCAGAAGCAGTTTACTTTTAAAATGTCTCATTGAGCTTTCAGGGAGGTGGGTGGGCCACTGATCTCACACTCCGTTAGTAGATAGCAGTCAATCTTCTTTATTGACTGAACATGATGTCACATACACAAAGCGACGTTTTGGGGACCAGGCAGTCCCTTCTTCAGGCAAACAGACTGATTGACTGTTGTTTGCCTGAAGAAGGGACTGCCTGGTCCCCAAAACGTCGCTTTGTGTATGTGACATCATGTTCAGTCAATAAAGAAGATTGACTGCTATCTACTAACGGAGCACAAGTGACTATATGGTATTTTATATTTGATGTGCAGAGGTATTCGCTGTCACTTTCGGCACCCCCGCTTCCGTTTGGTCAGGAGTGCGATGGGATCTACTACATTTTGGGCCACTGATCTGACCCGGATTCTTTTGTCCGTGTGTAAATTCTTTAAATGCTCTTTTCTGAAAACTCCAGCACAGAAAAATCCATCTTGGCTCCTGCTATGCAGAGTTAACGGGGAAGGGGAGCTATGTTTGGCATAATTAACCCTGTCTAGACTGTGCAGGCAGATTTCATTATCGGTTGTTAACTAGCTATGCAAGACTCTGTCCTCATGAAGGGTTAAAGATCTCAAGGCATTGAGGGGGATTTATTGATAAAAAGCTTTTATCTTTCATATTCAAAGCTTAAATCAACAAATTAAAGACAGAAGCTGATTGGTTGCTAACTGCTCCAGATTCTGTCTGCTCCAGTTTTGATAAATACCCCCCCCCCCCCCTGTTTGTTAATGCAGTTTTTCCCCCACTGTATGCTAATGTACTGTCTCCCTCAGTTTGTCCCTCCAGTCTGTCCCTTATCTCTACACTGCTACCTTTTCAAAGTGGTATAAGCTGGCCATGTTTTGTATAATCCTGCTCCAAAGAACTAAAAGTAAAAGCAATATTTTTCAAAATTATATTTTTTAGGTATGCTGTATGAACACATACATATAGTGGTGGTAGTGGTGGTGGTGGTGGGGGTTCTTAAATTTGAATTAAACGTGGAAATACACTTTAAGCAAGCATACCTTTTATACTTGACTTTCAATGGACGTTTCCTCCTACTGTTATTGATACCCCCAAACCTGGTGTCAGTGGGATTTTGCTCGCAGGTGATTTTTAGCATCACAGATAAGAAGTGAATATTCAACCTTCTGGTTATTTGGTCTGATTACAATCTCAGACTGAAAATCTCGCAGAATTCAACTTGGTCAGAATGCTCGTCTGTAAGGTCTGACAGGCCTGGACACGCGTTTCCTGCATATCTAAACACACACTGCTCCTGCAGCAAATCTGTCTTCCGGCGGAGGAAGCGCTGACTGGAGCTACCCCTTATTTGTGGGAATATCCACTGGATACCCATACATCACACAGTCTTACACCCATTCAGAGACCCTATGCATGGTGGACCATGCTCTATCTTTGTTACTATCTGCTCACTTTTACACAGTGTTAGTGTGTTCATCTGTCACAGTATACAATATTTGTTTAGCCCTGACCACAACAAAAAAAGAAAATATATACAAAAATCACTATACTTTGCCTTAACTGTGCTTACCTTTTCTCCACGCAGCTTAGCTTTGATCTGTTGCCGTTCATTAAAATTCTGGAGCCTGATTTGCCTGAGCCTTGCTAAATATTCCTAATAGGATGAAAATAAAAACTTGTAATATCGAGAGAAAAAAAAACAAAACCATAAAAAACATATATGAAACACTTAGCCTCTGTAGAACTAAAAGGACCTTAAGCTCTAAGGCATTTTAGATAACAATATGCTAAAAAGCCAAAATAAACTTTATTTTACAGATCTCACGTCAAAAACCTCAAATGAATTAAATCCAGGTACAGATAAATAAAACCCAGGTTTAATTTGAAAAGCCTTCAGTTTCTTTTCATGACCATGTCCGATACAAGAGAACGGATATATTACCATACTACTGAACTCGGACCTATCTGTAGAGATAAAATCCTAAAGAAGCCTTAAGAGTAATGTGCAAACAGCAGTGAAGCATAGCAACCAAACAGTAAACCTTGTTCATTGTTTTGACTGTTTAGGTTTCAACTAATAATGAAAAGGTGAGATTTGATTGGATGCTAATGGTTGCTGCACATCGATATTTTTTAAGACTGTGTGCATGTTGAATATATCATATCATCCGGGACCTTTAGCTGAATGACTGTCATACTGCATGGAGTACTGTGCTAATGCAACTGCTAATGTTTTGGAACTGATGAAAGACTTAACTGCACCTCAATGAATGGGTGGATTCTTGGCTCAACTAGCTGCAATGACATAGTTTAGAAAGCAATGTATATGGCAAAACACACACATAGTAGCATTCGAGCAGGACAGCCAATGGTTATGGATTAATATGACCATATAGCAGAAAGGTGCATATAACTGGGTATAGATGCAAGTCTCATTCAAAAGCAAAAATTAAACATGTCAGACACAAGTACATGATTTGGACATAAAGGAACTACATAGGATGAAAACACAGCCCATTTATGTAGAGTGTAGTCGGTTGTAACTGTGTATTTAAAGTTAGGAGGCAAGGCAGAACCTCAGGCAAGAATGAGTTAAGGCTTTCTTCTATGTGTTAGGTAAAATACACAGGGAACATGCGAAGAAAGGATATGATTAGTTATTGAACATAGTGCAGGCATGTTCAGAAAAGGCTCAGGCATGCAGGAAGCCTACCTGTTCTTCTCTGTGTCGGGCCTTCCCTCCTCCTGAAGAGTTTGGCCTGCCTCCATAGATAGCTGCCAGGCTGTACAGTGCATCCTGTTCATCATGTAATGTATTAAGTGTAAGAATGGTGGGGACTACAATAAAAAGTGTTTTTTTTTTTAATGTACTCTTCCAACGCAACCTACTAATGCTTCTTTCAACTTTTTCGCCCCGGGACTGGCTGGTGTGATCATTTATACCATAATAAACTGCTCAGTTAACACAAGCGGTTATATTGTCATAAAGATCATCTGAGGGACCAAGTTTATGGACATTTAGTGTGCAGCTAGGTTTCATTATTACTCGGCTCAGTTATAGAGAATACAGCTGAGCGGTCGTTGATCATAGGAGTGGATAATTGAACCCTTCAGGGAGCATAATAGGACACTTCACAGGAGTCTGAAGGAAACAAAAGGAAGGGGGACTTTATTCTGTTGACTTAAAGAGCATCCCCAGAAAAACATATTTAAATGTACTAACTGAAGGAAAACCTGTACGTAATTAGTATCTCCCTCCAAGAACACGTCCCTTACACAGCATTTTTGAATGTTGTACAGCTTAAAGCGACACTAAACTCAGGAGTTACACCTTATGAATGCATTCAAGTATCTTAACTATTAATAAAAAATGTATCTTATTTGTGTATCACGCTGCTGTTGATCCTCAAAACATCTCTGAATTCATGCCGACACTGCCCTTCCTCCTGGAGGGTGGCTACTTTGGTTCCCCATGGTTCATGTGTGTGTGTGTTAAAGTAGCCACCACTCCAAGCTCACTTCTGTGATGGACTGCAATATCAATACATATTAGTAAAATAGATGTGAGAATGTAGTCCATCAGAGGAGCGTGTTTGGAGTGGTGAATACTTTACAACATGCACAGGGACCATGGAGAAGAAAAGTAGCCATCCTCCAGAAGGAAGGACAGTGTCAGCACCAATTCAGAGATGATTTGAGGATGTACAACTGAGTGATACACAAATAAGATACATTTTTTGTTAAGGCCTCATTCACACACAACGCAAGAGCCAAATTGTATATTGCGTATGTACGAGCGCAATCCCACAATGCATCATCCGTAATAGAAATGTCAATGAACTGTGCGTGCGTAAATACGCTGCCCAGGAACATCTCGGTTCTATTCTGTTTTTGCGCATTTTTACGCTATGCAAATATACAGCTCCCTATACGCAGCTATGTGTATGGAGCTATTTATTTGCATATGCTGCATATGGTACTGTACGCTCATATACGTGCGTATATGCGCGACAGTGTGAATGAGGCCTAATGATTAAGGTACTTGAATGCATTTTTAAGAATTAACTCCTGGGTTTAGGGTCACTTTAAGTCCAATGCTTTCTTCAACCACCTATGAAAACCAACCATGTGCACCTTGCTATGGAATTTGTTCAGTTCTGTTTGTACTGCGGTATGTGTAACTTAACACAGAAGAAAATGAACGAATGAAAGAAACTATGGTAAACGAGACTTAAATATATACCATATGTACCATATGGTTCAAAATAATAAAGCCATAGGCCACAAAGCGGACTTCTTCCACTCATTTTAAAAATGTTACATATATTTATGTGAATTGTTTACTTGTAAATATGTCCAGACTGATCATGTAATGCAGGAGATATACACTGCTCATCTCCTTGTTTTTAGCCTCTATAGCAATAATCTTCCTTGTGTGGCTTATAAGCCACGTACTCAAGCAGCTCCGTTTAACATTATTTCAAACAATTGTTCAGCAGGTCCTGACCATACAACAGCGTGAAACTAATAGTATAATATGCCTCCGAAAATTACTGAGACAATGAGAGGCTGAAAACTGTATTTTAACGCTGAACTCTGGCTTTAACGAAAAGTTGCCTGGAAAGAAAGCCACAACCAGGGGCATTGCTGTGCCATGTGTTCTGGTACAGGTGATCGCACTGCGGGTGGGAGGTGTGGCTGGATACTGGTAAATGAGATATGAAACACAACAACAAAAGTATGAACACTGGAGCTCTAGCGTACTTTAAGCAGTAAGACGATATGGCAGGCTGGCTGAAACTCTACTTTACTGAATGTTAGAAATAACTAATGAGGAACACAGAATGAATGAATCTCAAAACATCCCCAAATGCACAAAAAAACCAGGACCAGGAACATTAGATTCCCTTGGCTACTCTGGCGTGATAATTATTTATAGTTTAATACCGGAGAGAAACATTAAAGCCAGCACAGAAATAATTATTATTAGTGCCACTTTTCTGGCAGTATGGACCTTTAAAAGGTTCTGCACCAAATTAAAAACAGCCCTGTCACCAGTTTCGGCAGATTTATCAGATTCAGGACATTCTTAATTGTGTCACTTTAAGAATCTATCGCTATGGCTGACAGTTTACAGACTGGTAAGCTGGCGGTAATTAAGACCAACTCTGATCTGGCATACAAACGACAGTGCTTAGAGTGTCAGGGTCATGTATGTCCTGAAAGCCATCATAAATCTGAAAGCTTCCTGTTCATTCGTTGCTCGGACACTGGGCCGTCAGCGTTCTAGCACTCAATTAACCATCCAAATGTAACAATTGGAATGAATGGGACTGTGCCGCAAACATGCAGGTACACAGTTGCCAAACGGTATTCCAACAGAAAAATGTCACTGGAATAATACAAAAAAAACAAAAAAAAAAACACCTGCATTCAAGAGGCGGCTGTAATGCAGAATGCATTGGCTATTTGCTCATTACATAGATAGGTTCTACTTCCTGCTTTGCAGTGCTACATACGTTTGTACATTACTGCTGCTTTCCACAATGCAAACCCAGGAGTTGGATAACTCATTGAAGCCATACACTCCCTGTTTGGGTGTTATCTAATTGTTTGACAAGTGGGCAGAGGAGAAGTTCAACTACCTTACCTCTAGAAGATCATACACCTAAAAGGAGCCACAGTACGGTTTGAAAATATTATGTTTAAATGTGAAATATGTACATACTATTACCTTTCCTAGATCGGTGATTATATTTTCAACTTTCCTATATAAATCAGCTTATTGATAGGCAGTGGGAAAAAGAAAAAAAAAAAAAAAGGAGGAAAAATGGACGTGGAAGTAAAATGTGCAGCACATTGGCCAACTTCCAGCAGGTGGCCAGATACTTGTCAGATCTGGCTGTACACAGAAACGGCATAAATGAAAGGTAGAGCTGCTTAGCACCCAAGAATCCATAAAATACAGCAGAAATATTCATATGGCAGATAAGACCTAGCGCTATTTTTCAAGATCCCTGTTATAGAAGACCTACCCCAAAAATAAGACCTCGTTTGTTGGTAGCATGTGCAGGGGAACTTGAAGAGGAGAGATGGTATCAGCCTGCAGAGATTTACTGAATTAAGGGGATGACAGGGGACTCTCTCCAGCCAGTGCAGTGACAGGGAGCACTCCAGTACCATACTTCAACTGCTGTCCCCCTGAGGCACTGCTTAATGTAATGGTACTGTACTGTAATGTGTACCGCTGTCCACTGTCTGATGTGCCCCTGGTACCACTGTCCCTGATGGCAAAGGAAGCAGGCGCTGTAGAAAGCAAGGCTGCGGCGGCGGAGGGAGCAGATCCGCATTAGCCGATACTTCCTCTATAGCGCCAGTTACTGTGAGAAGCGGAGTGATACCAGATGCACTCCGCCTGTGAAAGTGAAAGAAAGGTATCAGCATTACCGATACTGACCAGTAGGAAAAGAAAGAGCAACAGTGTTATTCTCATTCTTACCATACCATTAAAGGAGAACTATGGGGGTTAGGGCTTTTCCCTATAGTTCTCCTTAGGGTAACGGGAGGACACAAACTAGCGTCCTCCCGTCACCCTAAGCTCAGTATACCGCAAGCTGTAGCTCGCGGTATACCGAGACCCCGCAGCTGAATCGGATCCCGACAACCCGACACCCCAGAATGCAGGAGGCTTTAATTATGCAATCCCGTGTGTCCCAACCACTAACCGTGCCGGAACGCACTGGATGAGGGGGTAACCAGCCCTCAAACTTGATAGAGAGATACAAAGTAACATTGTTACATGTGTATTTGCTTTGCCTTAAAGGGATGAGCTTTGATTTGTATATGATGCCAGTTAAAGCAACGGAGCATGTTTTGTTTCATAACATTTGTGCCTATTTAGCCCCTTATTAACCCATAGTTCAGCCTAATCAGTCCCAATTGATATATTTTTTCATAGAAAATACTTTGCTGCTCTTATTGACTAGGCTTAGATGAAAAGGTAACATTCTAAATTGCACATTCCGATATATATTCTGTGATCTAAACATGTATTACCATTACCATTTATTTCTGTCCTCAAAAAAGGAAACAGATCAATGTACTTTCTCTAGAGGGTACATATGTTATTATCTTCTACTGGGTTGCCTTAAGTAGATCAGGAAAGTCCTAGCTAAATGCCGACTAGTCTCACTCATGCAGAGTGTAATAAAATTTTATTATGTGGAGCCAGATATTTTACTGAAAGGAAGCATTTATGAAGGCTTATCTTGGGGAGCCTGATTGCTCGTGCAGGAAATCAAAAGTTATGCTATACTTTAAATAGCACAGCTTTTGAACTAGTTATAGTAACTAGTAGTAGTGCAGGTAAACTTGATTTTATATGAGCACATGTATTGCAAGAAATGTGGCACTACACTTATTACACTCACCTTCTAAATACTGAAGTCAAAAGAGAATGTTAGCCAACACTGTTTTAGGGTAAATTGATTGATTGGTACAAAACTAGTAATACTATTCTCCCCTTCATTTTCAGTTAGAAAATAATCATATATATATATGCACTTAAAGAAGGGAATGTCATTTGTGAATCATACAACCATAACGCCAAATGAGAAATCCCTAATCAATGGACATATAACTTTACAAAGATAAAATCCAATAAGCATTAGTTAACCCCCTTTCTTCCCAATACTGAGCCTTAAACATGATTAAAGTTGTCCTTTACTGACCTCACCTTACCAGGGTAGCCCACAGAGTAAAATATGTACCTTCAATTCCCCTTTGGAGATCTTCACTGTGCAGCCCTGTACCATCAGCTTTTGCATAAAAAAAAAAAAAACAACTCCCTCTACGTTCCATGCGCCAATTTCCCAAATTATTCCTGTGGCTGAGGCCATATTCTTCTGGATGGCTGGGGAAGCTATTACGGGGCCAAAAAGCATACATGGGCTGTAGGAGTTCAGCCAGGGCTTTCTTATTGTAAAATGATGTATGTTGCTGGGTAGGACTGCACAATGAAGATATCCAGGGGAGGCCAAAGATACGCTGTTTCTGATGTGGGTTACAGTGAGGTGGAGAAGAAAAGGGAGTAGGTCAACTTCAATAAAAAAATTACTCAAAATCAAATGAACAAATAATGATTTGACTAAACTGGAAAACCACTCTCTAAAATTAGGGCTGGTAATGATTACATTTTCGTGTTCGATTAATCGATTTTTTTTTTTTTAAATAGATTCATCGATTAATTTCGATTAATTATAACGTCCCCATCCGATACAACCACCCTTTAACCCATACCACCTCTAACTAATTGCGGGGTTACACGTACATACTTCTGGCCTTCTGTAGTTGTTTTTGACTAGTTTAACTAGCTATTTTTTTTAGTTTAAAGTATATTTTCACATTCTAGATAGATTATGAAAAGGTTATATGCCCTGTCATTTTTTTATTGTCTTTCTTACCCAATTTGGGAATTTCTTTTTCACTTTCTGCCCTATAGACACAATAGGAAGTAAGAAGTGAGGGAAATCACGTTTTAGATCACCAGAACAAGTGTACCTGTTGGACAATTTCTACTCTATTAATGTGCTGCTGACAACTTTTGTATTTCCTATCTCTTTCCGTTTCAGTGACAGTAGTCATCATGACAAAGTAAAAAAAAAAAAACTACCTAAAAAGGTCATGTGACACATCTGAATCTTCTCTTCGTCTCCGTCGTCTAACGAAGGGAAGGGGGAGGAGTCCGGTGACGTAGATGTCCGTGACATCACCGGATCGCCGAAGGGACTCCCGGAAGCCGGCGGAGAGGGGAGTGTTTTCATTAGCGATCACTGACATCGACGTCACCGGATCTGCGACGGGACTCCTGGAAGACTCGGAAGCCGGCGGAGAGGGGAGTGTTTTCATTAGCGATCACTGACATCGACGTCACCGGATCTGCGACGGGACTCCTGGAAGACTCGGAAGCCGGCGGAGAGGTGAGTACCGATCAAATTTTTTTAATCGATCAAAGAAATTAACGATTAATCGAGGAATTAATCGTTAATTTCCGCAGCCCTATCTAAAATACATCCTGAAGACACCCCATTCCTATTTATAAACATAACAAATCACCATAATGCACAAACCAAATTCCATACCATTCGTCCCTCAGCCCGTGCCTTGTTCTTCATGGCTTCCTGCTTCCGCTGCCAAAATTCCTCAACCTGTCTTGCTCTTTCAGCAGCCACATGTCCTCGATATCTGAAGCATACCATAATACTTAGATCACATATATGGATGTATTACTTGAATAGTTAAAGAACAACTCCGGGTAAACTTTTTATTAACATTTGCAGTGGGGCTACCCCGCACTGCAAGGGTTAAGTGCTTGTTTATGCCTAGGGTCACAAATAATAAAGTTATACTCACCTACACCTCTTAGCCAGCCGGCTCTGACAGACCTCCCTCCTGCCTCTCTCCACCGCTGCAGTGATGGTATGTCCCGAAGCGCCCTTAGACTGCTGCTGCAGAGGGGGAGAGAGGCTCCACGGACCGGTCTGAGCTGGCCGGCTCGGCGGTTCGAGTATAACTTTATTTTTGACCTAGGCATAAACAAGCACTTAACCCTTACAGTGCAGGGGTAGCCCCATTGCAAGGAATAATGCCTATTAAAGCAGAACTCTGGGTAAAATAACTAAATTACATTAATACACAATTTGAAACAGAAGAAATCATTCGTATACTATCGTTAAACTTAACTATCATTGTATTCACAGTGCAAAGTTACTGTGGAATCTGCCCAACTAGTATTAGAGAGAACGTTTTTCATCATGTGTTAACAAAACATGTGATTTATTGGTCTAAAAAGCATGTAAATGTTGCTTCCAAGCTGGCCTGAGTGTGCACACTACGAGATATTAAGGAGTGGAAGGCATCCAGCAGGACTTGCTCATGCTCCTGCAAAATCTCCACATTAGCATTGTGAGGCCACAAGCCTTAAACAGGGTATATGCATGAAGAGAGCTATATGTGCAGGGCTTGAAAAATCCACTCGTGTGTTGATGAGAGGACGGTGGAGCCCGACGAGCAGCTTCTCGGCCGGCCGGGAGCTTTACAGTCAAGCGATCGAGCGTCTCGAGAGACGCTCCATCGCTTGCATCAGCAGCTGTCACTGCCGTTGCCGGTCCCGGGATCCGCTGTGCCCGATGCGGCCGGGACCGGCACGGCTCTGTGACAGGAGATCAAAGGGAGTTCAGTATACGAACTCCCTTTGATCTCCTCTCAGTCCCCGAATGCAGGAAGTGATGTATATTACTTCACTTCCTGCATTCATTGTCACTCTCCAGCTAGAGAAGCTGATGAAGCAGATCTCAGCTTCATCGGCTTCTCTGGGGGTCCCTAGGTGACATTAGGGGTCTTGGAGACCCCTGATGTCTCCATAAAGAGGACCTGTCATGTAACTTGGCTATCCCATAGGGGGCTTCTTAGCCCTCCACGCAATAGCAATAAAGTTGTGGGTAAAAAAAAAAAAAAGTAATACAAAAATTAAAGAATCATAAAAAAATAAAGCATAAAAAAAAATTAAAAAAGAAAACATTTCTTTTAAGTCCCCGCCCCCCACATACACACGCAGATATGCGTCGGGTGCGCCTACATGTGAAAACGCCGATTGCGCCGCACATGTTACATATCGCCGCAAACGTCGGGGTTAGAGCAATAATTTTAGAGCCATTACTCACTGATAACACTAACCTGATGAGCAGTAAAAGCATTTTAATAGTCGCCTATGTGCGTTTTTTGCGATTTTGTGGGCGCACGCAATTTTAAAGGCTTGACATGTTTGGTGTATATTTACCCGACGTGACCCCGAATTTTATGTTTTACTAAAAATATGGGTAAGAATAACTGTTTTATAACATAACGTAGGGAAACTTTTTTTGTTTTGTTTTACATTTATGGTACTTTTTTCATTATATAGTAAAAAAAAATAACCCCCCGTGGGGTCACAAAAGAAAGCTCTATCTGTCCCCAAAAATTTTTAACATAAATTGCAAGGCTGTAGTCCAGTCATGCTGACTGGTGAAATTTTTGACTGACAAGACACCGTCAAATTTTTCAAGCCCTGTATATGTGCCTATCTGAAGGCAGACAGTAGAGAAGCAGAACCAAACAAAAATAGTGACAAAGGCTGGCAGCCATACTTCCCTTTCATCCTAATATATCTCTCTCGGTAGGCCAAGGGACTACAATGGCTGCATAGGTGACAAAGCTTTTGTAATCGCAATGGGACAGGCAATGTTGTCAAGCTATCCATGGAAGTGGCTATTTAACAGTTCTCCTGGCAGGAACAACGGCTATTTACAGCATATTACAAAAGGACATAAAAAACAGACACAGCAGACTTATTGTATTGGCTATCAAAAACAGTTATTGACTCTTTACTATCACTGACCGGTCTGCAAACGCTTGTCGGGAGACCTCCTCCAACCTCTTCAATTCCTTCCTCACTGCGTCCCTATCAGGTAATGGATCATGAGCTAAGGGGCCATTAGGAGCTTCCGGTTGTGCAGCAGCTCTGCAGATGAAAGAGTAAGATAATACCAAGGCTTTTTGATGTACTATTGGTGGAATATAATTATCAGTGATAGTCAGACATCAGTCAGTCCCATCAATCTCTTTAGTTAGGGGCTAGGCTGCATAGAACAGCTGGTCACTGGTTTTCTGGATAGAACTGAACATCTAAATCACAAACCTTTGTGCATCAGAGTTTTGAACTTCTGCTCGGTGTTTAATCTCTCTGTCCTCTGCTCCTTTAATGTTTTCTTTCTGCTTTTGCATTTGGTCAAAAAAAGAATGATAATGCTCATATGGAGATCGAACTGCAGCTTGTGGAGGGACTGCCCCTCCGCCTCCTCCAAAGTATGGTGCCTGTAACAGAATGACATTTTAAGACCTACACATGCAACCATTTTACTGATCTACAAAGACAACCCAATAAAAGTATGAACTATGTAGTGGCATCATTGGCTTATGAATTCACCTTGATTTCTCCACTTCCTCCTGAGCCAATCACATTCTTCCAGCCTTGCTCTCTTGCACGATTTATTCGCTCCAACTAAAACCATACAAAGTAAATACTTAAACAAGAAAACGAACATAAAAGAAAGAGTAAAGCTGTCTTGGGTTTAGATATTTACATTTTTTTTTTTTACAAAAGACTACCGACTAAGAAAAGTGTATAATGTGGTTAGCATTCTTGCATTTTGGCTTTGTGTTCTGGGTTTGAATCCTACCCAAGGACTATATGCATGGGTTTCTTTGAGGTGCTCCAATATCTTTCCTAAAAGCTAAACACTCTATGGGCTTCCTCCTAAAACGGCCCTGCTCTATGCAAATGCAATAATGACATCAGACTGAAAGCTTCTTCAGGTGAAGGAGATTATATGAATGCATCTATGTACACTGCAAAGCACTCCATAATATGTTGCTGCTATATAATGTTAATAAACAATACATGAAGCAATCTTTCATTACCAGTTCACTGTTGCCATCTTGTGGACAAACATAAAATGCTAGAAAGTCTGCAGTATGTACTGTAGACACTAAACTCAGGGAGTTAAACCTAAAATAAGCATTCAAGTACCTTAACTATTAACAAAAATGTATCTAATTTGTGCATCATTCAGCTGTAGAGCTTCAAAACATCTCTGAATTGGTGCGGACACTGTCCATCCTTCTGGAGGGTGACTACTTTTATTCCCCACGGTCCCCGAGTGTGTAGTAGCCACCGCTCCAAGCTCACTCCCATAATGGACTACAATCTCAATACAAATTTGTGAGGTAAATGTGAGATTGTAGTCCATCACCGGAGCAAGCTTGGAGTGGTGGCTACTACACACACAGGAACCATGTGGGACAAAAGTAGCCACCCTCCAGAAGGAAGGACAGTGTCAGCACCAATGCAGAGATGATTTGAGGATCTACAAGCAAGTGATAAACAAATAAGATAGAGTTTGTTCATAGTTAGGGCACATGAATGAATTTTTAAGATTAACCTCCTGAGTTTAGTGTCACTTTAATAAAGCAGATCTGAATTGCACAGGGCGAAGGAGCACACATGACACCCTTAAATCCTAATGAAATCACATGAAAAGCAAAGTTGCAAGGAGCATTGGCTAATTGTTTTGGGTAAAATAGACTTTGCGTGTATATTTTGGCAGGAAAACAAACTCCTTGCAATTTTTAGGAAGCGGGATGTTGCTTCAGCTATCACAGAGCTATGTCGTTATCAAGAATACAGCAGCTGAAAAGAACAAAAAATATAAGCTATCTGTAAGATCATCCAGCTTACCCTTTCCTTCTCCAGTCGTCTCATCTGCTCCGCTTTCAGTAAATTTATCTACCAAGAGATCAGAAAGGAGATTGTAACACTAGGGAGTGATGCATGGGACTAATGTATGTGAATGTAAGAAAACAAAATGAATATATTGCCCATAATGATAAACAGGTTTCAATTTTTATCTTCTAATCTATAAGAAATAAGAGGAATCCTGTTTGTTGCTATGAACACTTTTTCTTCATCTAACATCTGTGTGCTTTTGTCACCTTTAAACTGAATTTTCCAGCCTTCAAAATGGCTGGTGTCATAGCTGGTCACGTGTGGAGCAACATGGCAACTGCAATCTAAACAGAGGCCAAGATGGCTCTCCTCAGCTGTAAAGGGATAATAGGGTTATAATCTGCTTTAATTACCTCTCGTTTCAAAGACTACTAAAATGAGACCTGTCACAAGAGAAATATGGAAGCTGCCAATGCTTAACTCTCATTCTGGACTTACTGGTTGCCTGGATGTCATACACTGAGTACCTGGCCTAGAGCAAGCATGCAAACAAGGCTTCGGACATTTCTCGGACTTACATCATCTGTATACTTCCAGGTCATATAGCAGAATGTGCTAAAAGGTTTATTAAACCCTCGCATTTTTTTTGCATATATCTACTGCTCGCAAGCAGTAGATATATGCAAAATCATAAGAAGGAAAAAAAAAAACGTTTTCTAAGGGTTAATACTTACCTGTGTCTTCGCCGCTCGCTCCTGTCCGAACATCTGAAAATGTATTGGGCGGCCGCAAAGGATCATGGGGCGGGCGCATGCGCAGTTCAGATGTTCGGCCAGGAGACGAGGAGAGACACAAGGTAAGTATATGGAGCAGCGTGCACCCGCACAGACTCCATGGGACATGAGAGAAGGGGAGGACAGAGGAGTCAGTGCTGGATCAGAGACCGGCACCAGCGCTGGAGGGACATCTGATAACTACACTAAAGAAGAAAATGATCAGATTAAGAGGCATGATTTAAGTTAAGTCCCTACACTAACATTGGAAGGAGGGGGAAAAAAGTAGCCTTTAATGTCACTTTAAGCAAGAGGGTCAGCAATGGCAGCCCCAATTTCTTGAAAAAGTTACCTTCAAAAGGTTGATTAAAGTTTTAGTAAATGCCTAGTTAAACGCAAAATGTTCTTGACGTACCTGACCTTCAATGAGGGAATGTGGAAAGTATAAAACACAAAATATCAATATGCCCACCAACACTAAAGCCCAACTTCTTAGAGTTTTGCCTTGCAGTGGGGCTGCCCCATCATTGCAAGCAATAACTGCTCTTGTTTATGCCTAGGGTACAGGAAAAAGCTGTTTTACTTGCCCATTTCCCACTCCCAACGTCTCCCTCCAAGCTGCAAGAACGGTCCCTACACCATTTCCTCCTTTTGGCTCTGGTAGTCTAAGGACCGCTGACGTCATCAGGTAAAATGCAGGCTCCATAACCCTATTCTTTTAAAAAATCTGACATAACAGAAAATACTACCCACCTGTTCTCTCTGCCTCTTCTCCTTCTCCAGCTGTCTAATATCCACTCTCTTTTTCTTGGACACATCCTGCAATACAAACAAGCTCTTATTTTGCTCACTAGTTTGAGTAGAACCTTCACGGTAAAGAGGTGTTAGTAAAATCAAGACGAGCAAGGAACATGTGGTTAGAGGACAAGAGTGGGAAGAAACGAGGAAAGGTTTGGAGGTGTTTGGTTTGGGTCATTCATTTATCTGCCAGAACTGCAACAGCAGGCACCACAAGCAGCACTGCACAGCCCTCCAGCTCTGCAGAACTGGAAGTCGGTCACAATAAAAAAAAAAAAAAAAAAAAAAAAAAAAAGGGG